TTTTTTTCCTCTTGTGCCCGGGTGATTACTTTGACTATTAGTTGGGTCGGTTGGATCATTGGTTTTATAACCTCAATCTTTTTGCTCTTGTATTGGGGTTTTCTGGACAATGCATCTGCTAAGAAGTTCTTTCTCCCAGGAAAATATTTGAGAGTGAAATTAAACCATTTAAAATATTGAGCCCACCTTGCTTTTTTTTCAGAGAGTTTCCGTGGATTTCTCAGGGCTTCCAGATTTTTGTGATCAGTCCATACTTCCAAGGGGACTTGGTTTCCTTCCAGGAAATGTCTCTGTGTGAGCATTGCCCACCGCACAGCATATGCCTCTTTCTCCCATATGGCCCATCTTTGCTCAGTTTCTGTCAGTTTCTTGGATGTATAAGCGCATGGTTGTAATTGTCCATTTCCATTCTTTTGGAGGAGGACTGCTCCAACTGTAACATCACTAGCGTCTGCTTGGATGACAAAAGGTTGTTCAGAATCTGGGTGCTTAATGACTGGTCTTGCTGAGAATAGACCTTTGAGTTTTTCGAATGCTGTTTGGCATTCCATTGTCCAGAAAAGAGATTCCCTTCGTTTGGGTTTCTCCCCTCCCCCCCCCCCGCTTCATTTTTAGCAAGTTCATGATAGGGAGGGAGATGTTTGCAAAAGCTGGAATAAACTGGCAATAAAAGTTCGCAAACCCCAGGAAGCTTTGCAGTTGCTTGCATGTATGAGGTGGGTCCCAGTCCATGACAGCTTTTACTTTCTGTGGGTCCATTTCTATTCCCTCGTGGGATATTTTATACCCCAAATAGTCATTTTTTTCTTGGTGGAATTCGCATTTAGAGAGTTTTGCATAGAGTTTAGCGTCTAAGAGTTTTGTTAGGACTGCACAGAGTAGCTTGATGTGTTCTTCCATCATTTCTGTGTAGATTAAAACATCATCAAGATACACTAGAACCCCTTTATAGAAAAAATCATGAAGGGTTTCATTGATCAATTGCATAAACACAGCAGGCACTCCTTGCAGTCCAAAAGGGAGCACTTTAAATTGGAAGCATCCCAATGGTGTGTTAAAAGCTGTCTTCCACTCAACCCCTTCCTTTATTCTGATGTGGTAATATGCCTCTTGTAGGTCTAACTTTGAAATTTTTTTTCCTTTTGAGAGGTGGGCTAACATGTCCTTCATGAGGGGGAGTGGATACATATTCTCTATGCAAATCGTGTTTAATTTTTTGTAATTAACACACAAACATACAGAGCCATCTTTATTTTCATAGAATAACACTAGGACAGCTATTTTTGGTCAGGTGGGTTCAATGAAGCCCCTTTTAAAATTTTTATTGATAAATGCTCTGAGTTCTTTTAGTTCTCTGGGAGACATGCAGTACATTTGTGGTTTTGGGAGTTTAGACCCTGGTAGGATTTTGATAGCGCAGTCTGTGGCGTGATGGGGTGGGAGTTCATCACAAGCTTCTTCGCTAAATGCTTGGGCCAGATCCTGGTACTCCTTGTGGATGTTAATGGTTCAGCTGACTGTCTGGTCAAGGCTGACTCTCTGTTCTCTGTTCCTTTCTTTATCCTTTCCTCTGAGCTATTTGCAAATAATACGTCTCTCTGGAATTGTACGGTTCCTCTCCTCCAATTTATTTTTGGATTCCATTTCTGCAGCCATGTGAGACCTAGGACCAGCGGCTCTTCCATTCCTGGGGCTACAATGAATGTGAGCATCTCACTATGGTTCCCTAGTCTTATTTTCAATGGTTCTGTGGTAAACCTAGCTGGCTCCCCCCCGCCCCCATAGTTCCATCTAATTGGCAGAAAGTGATGGGATTTTCCATTTCTTTCAGTTGGATTCCCAATGTCTTTGCAAGGGAGGGGTTTATTAGGCATCAGGTGCATCCCGAATCCAGCAACGCTGCAACTTCCTCCCCCTTCCCTCGGCTGGGGATAAACTGTCTTAGGTGCAGAGTGATTGGTTCAATTGGGTTGCTTACCAGCGGGTCATCTTCCAGACCGCTTTTGGACTGGCTCAGGTCCCCTCGGAGCATTGGGGATTCTTCCTCTGGGTTGGGGGGGATCAGAATCCCACAGCTACTCAGCCTCTCAGGCCAGTCTCCTTTCCTTGAGGGCTGGATGTTCTAGGTTTCTGCCCTGATGGGTGGTCTGGCTTTCTGGCAGGGGTTTTCGAACGGCATTCTGCTGCGCAGTGTCCTTCCTTTCCACACTTAAAGCAACCAGACGTTCTTGAAGTCATGGTGGTTTGCGGTTTGAAAACTTCCCGTTTCCCCTGGGGTGGGGATCTTTTCCAAAACTTGACACTGCGATACCAGTTTCAAGTCATATCTATCTCCGCTTCCTCTGCCATCATGTATCATTCATGCAGGAGGTTTGGGGCCCCACGGGCCAGACAGGCAGCGTATAGGTAGTCATTTAGCCCATCTTTGAACCAACAGACTAGGATATCCTCTGGCCAGTTGACTCGGTCAGCCAGGTCATGAAATTCCTCAGTGTATTCAGCTACCAGGTGACAGCCTTGCTTTATGACTCTGATGTGGTCTTGGGCTTTTCTATCGGCGAGAGGGTCTTTGAAGCGGTGATGTAGGGCTGTCATGAAGTGGTCAAGTTTCCTTAATTCTGGGGTGTTGACATTGTGGAGCATCACCATTCATCTGGGTGCTGCCCGTTCAAGGGCCAGGGTGACGACTCATACTCGGGATCGCTGGGTTGGGAAATTCTTGCATGTAGGTGAGGACTTGAGCCAGGAAAAATCCCAGTTTCTGGGGGTCTCCATCGAATTTTACTCCCAGGGGTGGGAACTTCCTCTGCAGTTGTATGTCTCTGAGTTGGCCAGGGTTAATCCCCTGTTCTGGGGTGGTTAGGGGTTGGTTACCTGGTATGGCTGCTGGTTCTTCAGCTTGTCCCACTGCCTGACCATTCTCAGCTGAATCCGGGTGGCAGCTCGGGTTCTCTCATTTTCTGGTTCCCTCGCTTTCCTGCATTGGCGTCCTGGTGCATCCCTCACCTCGAGGTTCTCCAGGGCTTCCCTCACGAGGTGATTTATGTACCATCTCAGCCGGTCGTCGGCTGGTGGCTCCTTGTCCCATTCTTCCTGATTCGATAGGGCCTCCAGCTCTAATTTCCACCTGGGTTTACAATTACCACAGGTGAGGGTTACTCCTCTGATTCTTCTGTCCCAGCTGTCTCTCTTTCCTATGCCTATAGACCACCGGGGCTTTGTGGAGGTTTTGTAGGCAGCTTCACTATCTTCAATGGGGTACACCGAGTCAGTTTCTGGCTGGGTAACTGTTGACATTTCTCCCCAGCATTTGGCTTCCCCTTAGTCCTTGCTGTACTCAGACATTTTCCTTTTTTGCAGGGTCCCCTCGGTAGAGTGAAGTGTTTTGTTTTTTTTAAATAATCCTCTCTGGGCTGACCTCTATTGCAGATGCTGCTTTATGTCAGGCTACAGAACTTTTCCCATTCAATCAACTAGAATGAACTTCTGAAAACATATCAAAACATATCAAAATGAATCCTTTATTGAGATGAGACAATTCATGTAGGAGTTAAAAGCAGCATCTAAGGTCTCTCAGGCATGCAGAGATAGATAAAGGAGTTTAAAACCCCTCCCCTTATCTTGATGTGTATTTAGTAAAACAAAGAGCCAACATGTTAATTCCCCCCACCCCCTTTTTAGAATGATCTTTTCCAGAGTTTCCCAGGACACATCTCACTGTGGAATTTTTATGGTCTCTCCATCTCCTGGCTGTCTCAGAGGTGATAGGTTCCGGCCATCTGGGTTTCCTCCCTCCATTGTATCATGTGTAGGTTATACAAATTCGATATAAGATTAAATATATTCAGGTTACATCAAGAAGGATTTCTTTATCAGTCTCCCCCCCCTTTTCTTCTTCCATTGAATAAATGACACATATACTGATCTGACAACCATGTAGCTCTGCACCACTGCTTCTCAAGATCTGCTGTGCTGCTCACAGCCACTGGTCTAATGCTACCTAGCTCTGTTTCACTGCTGCTCAGTAGCCTCCATTTACACCACACTGGCTCCGCTCAGGTGTGATACTGGGTCATTGGGCTGCCTCTCCATCTCTCAGCTCAGCTGTCTTGCTTCTCTCAGATGGGTCACTGGGCCACCTGTCGGTTGGTACACTGGGCTGCCTCTCAGCTGGGCCACCCCTCAGTTGGGTAACCTCTCGGTTGGGCCACCTCTCACCTCTTTGTTCAAGGAGTTCAACTTCTCTTTTAATCCCTTCTAAGTTTGACACTCCTGTACTAATGTAATACCAAAAAACTCTAAAAGGATAAAACAAAGATAAATGGATACCAATCTGCAACCTCTAATACCTCAGGTGTTCAAGTGTTCTTGCTTGAAAATACATATTGAATACCAAAATCATTGACTCACAGGTAGCATGTTTTGAATGCTGATTGGTGGAAAGCAACAGTGGAAGAAAGCTATCTTGTTTGTTTCCATCCTGTGAGTATGTACTACTATGATGGTTATGATAACTTCAATATCAAGGTTTGATTTCACATATTAATTCCATTTAAAGAATTTACAAATCAATTTTATTAATTTTGAGCATACAAATACTTAAAATCTGACTTACAATATGTATATGGTATTTTTATTTTACCTTTTCATAGTGATACAGTGCATAAAGCAAAATGGGTGTACTGTATTCCACATCCTTTAAAGCATTTATATATTATCTTGCTGATTCCAGTTGTTTCCGTATTGCATCCTTCATTATCTAATCTGCTACATCAATATACTACTACTTGCCACTCTTTTTCATCCACAGATATACATCTCTTTATAATTGTGATTTTTGTGATTGTTTGAACACAATGCTACTAGCAAAACACAAAATGTACAGACATCTCATTCAGCTATGTAAGCACAAAACTAGAAAATTATTATAAAACATATAGGATTTTTAAGAGTAGTCCTTAATAGAAGTACTTTCTTATTGATTTACTGTTGAATTGCTCTTTTTTTGCTGTAGAATGTACTGTCAATATTAGTGTTAAAACTAATTTAATTACCCTTGGAATATCTCTGATCACTATAAGTGAACAGGGCAGCAAACGACTGAGGGAGCTTATTTGGTCCTCTTAACTATAATGATACTGAGGGCACAGCGGTCTTTTCAAATTGTGCATAGTTTATTCCACTTTTTCCAAAGGAGAATTAGTTACCTTGCAGTTTATTATGTGTGTGTGCATGCAAGTATGTGTGTATGAATGTACAGTATGTAATACTGTACACTGTGATGGAAATCAAGAAAAATTGTTTATTACTGAAATTCGATTTTGCATATAGACATGCACATGTAGTGTTTGGGTATTGTGAAAATCACTATTTCAAGCATTACCTCAGATAATGATGTAACTGAGGACTTAGATACACCAAGGATACAATGTGCACCATCATTAGGAATGACTTGTGTTATCAGAAATTTAAGTAGGTACATTTTGTTCGTTAAGTGAATAAAATGTCCAAAGAATTAATATAACTATTTAAAATATTTTATGGAGAGCAGCATAATCTCATAAATCAAAGAAGAATCATAATGATAAACATGCAAGTGGGTCTCCTAGGTAAAAAAAAGCAGTAGCCTATTGTAAAATTCTACAAAGCAGAAATAATAAATCAGTTATATATTAGGTAAAATGTTTGCATATAATCCAATGGTATATCATTTCACACAAATTCAGTCAAAGTGAATGAAACAGCATAAGGGCATTCTTGTTTTAAAGAGTTTTCAAAATGTGTCTCTGATGTTCTTTTATACAGAGGACCCATTATTTTCAGGCTAGAGGATTCTTGCATGTGTCTTCTGACAGAGACAGAACGATAGATGGAGTTGGTAATTGTCATCTAGTGATAGGAAAGCCAGTTGCTTTGACCAGAGTTCATATTTGCACCTATTGCTTGATTTACAGTACAACTTGGGCCTCCAGATTTAGCAGCAGGATCTTCAGACAAAGGAACTTTGCCCTGCAAAATTGTAAAAGGAAGAAATGTAATTTTTCAATACTGAATTATATTTGCATAGCTATTTTTAGCATATTATTGCAATATGAAGACAAACTATAAGGTGCCTTGCCTAGTATATGATTAAAAACAAATACAGCCAATTTCAAATATTAACCTATTGGCACATTTAACTTGAGCCCAACCAGAAGAAGAAACAAAGAGAAGTTTAATTGATGGTACAACATTAAGCAAACCTATACTCTAGGAAGTGACAAAGGAAAATGTCAGAGCGCTCAGAAGCAACTGGGCAGCACTGGGATGGATCACTCCATTCTGTTCTGATTTAGTATTTGGATTAGTACAACAGTTAAAAAAACCACTCCATGTTTTGAAGGATTTCTGTTTAAAAGATTTGTAGGAAAAAAATCTGTAATGTTAATTGGCAAGTTTCACTAATATATGAAAATTACAAGAAAGTGAAAGAGCAAGGAACTAGAGGGAAAATATCTGCAACCTATCCTATAGGAAGCCGACAGCAAAGCATAGCTAGCACTGTTGGAAGCCACTGCCCCTACAGAAGAATGAAATATTTTGGGAAATAATAATAATAATAATAATAATAATAATAATAATAATAATAATAATAATAATACATCAAGAGGCCCTCAAAATACTAAAATCAAAACTGAATGCTGGAAACATAATTAAAGCCATTAATACATGGATAGTTCCAGTGATACGCTATCCAGCTGGAATCATCAACTGGTCTTTGGCTGAATTGGAAAATTTGGGCTGGAAACATGTAAACTTTTGAATATGTATCATGCTTTACATCCACGATGTGACATTGACAGGCTATATCTGCCAAGAAGAATAGGTGGCAGAGAGCTATTGCAAGTCCATCAAATTGTAGGAGTAAAATTTGGATGACTATCTGTACAGAAAAATTGCTGCAGGCTGTGAAAACGGAGAACATTATTAAAACAACAGAAACAAAGGCAGAATATAAGGAAAAACAGCTAGATGACAGATTAAATAGATGGAAAACCAAAGTTTTGCATTGACAGCATTTGAAAAACATTGAATGAAAATGTGATAACAAATTAACATAGGCATGGCTTAAGATGGGAACCATCAAAAAATGGAAGGTTTAATACTCGCTGCTCAAGAACAAGCACTACAAACTAATGCCATGAAAGCAAAGATACAAAAAACCACCGACAATCCAAACTGTCAGCTTTGCAATGACAAAGTTGAAACTGTTTCACATTTAATATGTGAATGTAGCAAAATCACACAAATTGATTACAAAGCTAGACATGACCGAGTTGCTAAACTAATCCACTGGGCATTATGTAAAAAATATGACTTACCTGTATCTAAAAAGTCATGGGAACACAAAGTGGTCAAAAATGAGAAAGTGAAGATCTTGTGGGACTTTCAAATACAGACACATCGTCATTTAGAACACAACATGCCAGATAGCAGAGTCATCAAAAACCGAAGCATACAATTTATTGATATCACTATACCAGGAGATGCCAGATTCAAAGAAAAAGAACTAGAAAAAAATCACGAAATATCGTGACCTGGCCATTGAAACTACCCGATTATGGACAAAACATGTGACAGTGATACCCATTGTCATTGGGGCACTTGGCACCATGTCCAAGAATTTTACACAGTACATCAAGAAATTGCAGCTTCCTGCAATAACACCAGCAGAACTGCAAAAAACTGCACTACTTGGAACATTGTATATTTTAAGAAAATACTTGGTCGAAACCTAGGATCCTGGCAGCAATATCAACCATCAGTGCCAGTTAATAATATTTGTGATACATTTTAAAATGTTCAGTTAACTGAGTTTCATGTTTAATGAATGAAGATAATAATAATAACAACAACAACACAACAACAACACTTATTGTCATTGCACACACACACACACACACACACACACACACACATATACACACAATGAATTTGATTTTGCTCCTGCTGGTGCTATCCATAACAAAAATACAGCACAACATAAATAATATAGAAAATGGTCCTTATACAAGTAATTAGGGAGAAACCAGTCATATGTTTCCATGTATGCATCGAGTGATTGTAGTTGTATTTAGGAGTCCGACAACCCATGGATAAAAGCTGTTTAAAATATTAAAAAAGGAAGGATAAAATATTTTCCCTAAAGGAGAAATGAAAAAATCTTAAGAGAGGCAGAAACCAGCCCCAGTTTCCCTGCCCCAAACAGAAAGTGAGGAGGCCAGCTTTTAGAAATGCAGATTTGGTAATCCATTCAGAAAGACTGGGTCAAGACAGAAACTCATATAAGCGATAAACAAAAGGTTGACAAAATTAGCTCAGACAAACACCTAGGATTTGCATTTCCTCTTTTGCCAATAGAGCCAGTTATGATCCCTACATAACCCCTACATGACCCCATAGCAATTCAGAAGTTATAAAACCCACCCACTCTAAACTCCATTTTGTCAGCTGCCCCAGAACCCTAGTGGTTCTGTTTCATCAATTTCCTATGTGCCTCCAGCCTCCATTTTATTTCCAGCATCTTTTTCCCAGCTTGGAACTGAACCAGATGGATTTTCCTTCCAACAGCACTTTATCAATAAAAGGAAAGCTAGTCAGGCACATGGTGGAAGTTATTCAGAGAGTGGGTTGGAATGTGAGAATCTCCAGCCACGTAACAATAAGTATGTGAAATAAAGTTGGACTGCCTGCACTGGGGAAGAGAGACTTGGGAGTGCTTGGGAGAGGCCAAAGATTTGGTGGACGAAAGAACAGAAAATGAGGTAACAGCATTTGAAAGGGGAGTGAGTATTTTGATAAAGCAACCTTTTGGTTGCCTAGAATAACTCCAGTGATTGAGGCAGCACCAAAATGATAGTAAATACATAAATGGTTAGACATATTTGAGACAGATGGACTTCCATAGGCATCAGAATGGTAAGGCTTATTCTCCAAGTCCTTCCCTTTTGGAAGGTGTTAAAACTGGCCATGTTGATACATTTCTTAAATTATCATAAAACAACTCCACTCCAACAAAGATAGCCATGATTTCAGTACTTATGAGTCAGTCCAATTTGAAGCAGTACTCTGAGTCCAAAAATCAAGTCATCCCTCTGTCTCAGTGCTGCAAACTAAATTATAGAAACAATATAGAAACAATGTCCTGAAGACCTTTTAGGCTCAATATTAAAACAATATCAAAGCTCTAAATCAAATCCAATATTTGAAAAACAAATATTATTTTGATTTGGCACTTTGTTTCAAATTTGGCCACTAAATCAACATGCCCCTATAAACAATACACAGCCATACTAGTTACAACTATTTGTACTACTATAAAATAGTTCACAAGAATATTATCATAATTCCTTGCAACCAAATATATTGAATAAAGTACAAGTGTTAGAAAACAAGAAGTAAAATGGCAAAACACTTGCTTTATGTATCATAAAACTGTAAATCTATGATAGAACTATCAGTTAAAACACAGCTTATATTTTGTTCTTGTTCTTTAAATTACAGCTGTCTTGCACAAATATAGAGCATATAACTTTCTTGTAGGAGCTTGCTATCATAAAAATAGTATGGTTTTTTTGAAAACAATGTATACTATTCAGTAGCTTACAAAAATTCATATTGATTCCAGAAATAGGTTTATTCATATAACACATATATTATAAATGTAATTTGTATATTTTATGTATACATAAATGTGCTATAAATCTATTGTTGGCAAATATGTGCTCAGCCCCATTACTTCTATCAGTCTGTAATATTTGTATTTTAAAATAATAAATATAGGTAAATTAACATGAGGAAAAAAATGAAAGAAGAGAAGATGAAATCAGAGTGGAAAGAAGATAAATGGAACAAAAATATGTGAAAGAGAAAGGAACATCCATTAAAATATTTTTAAAATAGATGTTTTACAACTTAGCAAAAATAAGGAATGCAAAGGTAGCATTAACAAAACAGTTTTCTCACCTGTTTCTTTGCAGCAATGTTTACAATCTGTTCAGAAGTATCCTTGATGCCTGAAGAAATCCTAGAGTTTCCTGGGACATTAACATCTCCCATGGAAAAGACCGGAAAGAGAGGCCTAAGAAATCGGAACTCGCTACTTAAGGATCCACCAGTCAAACAAACATCATAACGGTAAGTCCTGGAAAGTGACCCATTCTGTGAATCAGCACAGTTCTCTTCGGTATCAACACTGGCAGGTGGGAAGTGAGGAACAGCCGCAGTAAAATGGCTTTGGGGATGCTTCTTGAAGACTTTCACCACAATAAACACAACAATGCAGACCAGGAACACAAAGGAGACTGCAGCCAAGCAGATCACCAAATACTTGGTCAAGGTTTTGTCTTCTTCCGGTTCTTGCACACTGACATCCACCCTCCTCAGGAAGGGATCCGAAAAGCCATCCACAAGAAGAACATTAAGCAACACTGTGCTGGTCTGTGGAGGAAGACCGTTGTCTCTGACCTGTATCACCAGTCTCTGCTTGTTAGCGTCTCGCTCATTCAGGGCTCTCCTGGTTTTCACTTCCCCATTCTGCGCTCCTATGCTGAAAAGGGCTGGGTCCGTGGCCTTCAGCAATTCATAGGAAAGCCAAGAGTTTTGGCCAGAATCTGCATCCACTGCAACCACCTTAGTGACCAGATAGCTGGCCTCGGCTGATTTGGGAACCAGCTCGTTGCATGGGGATGTGTTGTTCTGGAGGGGATACAGGAAGAAGGGAGCATTGTCATTCTCATCTATAATGTGGATTCGGACAATCACTTCTGAGCTCAGGGAAGGAGAACCTCCATCAGATGCCCTCACAGTAACTCTGAAGCCTCTTATCTGCTCATAGTCCAGGGATCGGAGGGCATACATGTTTCCGGTTTCAGAGTTGATTGAGATGTAAGAGGTCACCAGGCCCTCACTCTTCCTGGGCAGAACTAAGTAACTCACTTTAGCATTCAGCTTTGTGTCCAGATCCAGAG